ATAAAATAAAGCGAAGCTAGTTAATTATCAAGTTTTATTTATTTATTTGGAAGGTTCTGTTATATTGCTAAGCACGTGAAAGAGATTAGTTTGAAAACGTGTTGGTATATAAAATTATACAATTGTTATTTATAGATAAATGTAACAAGTGTACTATGAAACAGTCACGTGGCTTTATATTGCTGCCACTCTCTAAGTGCATTTTCAAGGGGTAGAACCCAACCGCACGGTATATGTGTGCCTTGTTTACTACGCGTCAAATAGCTATCCCAGATGCGACGTATTCGTATGAAGTCACCCCTGTTTTGTTTATCATAATAGGAATGTTCAACCGGTCCAAAAAATACCTCATTCCATTGGTCCTCCAAATGCCTTTCTTTACTGCCCTCAGGAGCATTATCTTTCAATACCTTGCTCCGAGTGGCACCCGTATCAAATTTACTCAGGAAGCGTTGGGAATCGTGTTGTTTCAGCAAACGAATTTGGGGTTTCTTTGTGATCGTTGTAGTTAGGCAATTTGCAGACGATGAGGGGTCGGTATGAGTTCTTGCAGATGCTTCATAACTTGGCAAAACTGTGGTAGATGCTATAGAAGTGGGCATCTGCAACACGTTTTTACTAACAAGGTGCTTTTTAATGTCTTTCACTTTCGACTTTTTAGTCTTACGCCTTTCTTTTCTTTTCTTAATCTTTTTAGCAAGGCGTTCTAATGGAGATTTTTCAACTACCTTGATTAATTCATCAGTTTGCTGCATCAGACTGTCGATATTAGATTCAGAAGTTACAGTCTCGCATTGCAACGCTTCCATCTTCTTGATATTAGTCAAAATATTTTGAATATGACATTTTAATTGCGAAACTGGTAACAATTTCTCGGTTGCTCTAAATGAATGAGTCATATTTGCGTGCTATGCGATGACGTCCTCAATGCAATGCTTAATTTATGTGTTTTTAGCTAACAATAAAATATCCATTTAATAAATTAGTGAATTGATGGCAAATATATAGTATAAAATGGAACTTTTTTAATTGTTTTCTTTATTGCTAATCTTTCTGCACAAGCACCTCTTTAGCATCGTTTACCACCTGCGTTGCGGTCTCGTATTCCTTTGTTTCCTTGAGCTCTGTCTCGTCTTGCAGAAAATTTTCCAGGGCTTCTAATTCCTTTTTCAATCTGCAAGAAAAAGCGCACAGCTGGTTATTTTCACGTTACTTACAAGTGCCATCTGTTTGTTAATTGCTCACCTGCGCAGAGTGTCTGGCAGCATCATCAAACACTCCGAGATCACCTCTTCTTGCTTCTTCAAAACATGCTCATCAGCACCTTCACTTTTGAATCTTTCCAGTCGATTTTGCTCGGTTAGCACCTCCTTTTCACAAACTGTCTTCTCCTTGGTTAAACGCTTTACAACGCCCGTTTTGATCGTCAATTGTCGCAAGCGTGGATCGGCCATCAAGTCTGCTTTTGGGTGTCTAAATGGTTTTAAATCTGCTTTGCTAGATTGAAATCAATTGATATGATCCAAGCTTGTATATTTTCGCCAAAGAGTGAGTCACAAATTCAGCCGGCTTCAGCCGTATTTATTTGTTTTTGTATGAGTATGAGAATGCAAATGTCAAATTTGTTGACAGCGGATGTAAATAAAAATCAGAGAGCGGTAACGAAAGAGACGTTCTCTGGCTGCCATAAAAATATTCACAATTGTTGAGCGGAAATGTGTTAATTTTGATAGCATATGCTAATTTCCTCTTCCTCTCTGAAATTTTAGCTACAATCAGCGTATATAATTAGAATGCATTTTACCTAAACAAATTAGGCGGAAAACTAAAGTTTTTTTTTACTTTTTTTGCAGCATGGTACAATGGCATAATTTTTATGAAAGCTCCTTTTTAGTAGCTTCGATAATGAGCAGCTGAGTTTAGTAAAAAAAAGCTACAATGTATTGCGGAACACCTGTTTATGAACAGAAGTGGAAGAGGTGTAAAATAGTGTTTAGCAAATGTAGTGAAGAAGTTCTTAAAGTTAAACTATTAATATCCAAAAAAGTTTGTCCAAACAGGTGTGATCACAAATCTACTGTATACAGGCAGTAAACGCCAGCAGGTTTGTCACGGAATATTTGGGCTCCTTACGGATTCAACAGTCGTGAACCAATGTATAAAAGCCAGGTAAGGGATCTAAATCATAGTAACAGCAAATTGTAGCACTTTAGGCGACACTGAAAGTTTTTGATAGATCCATAAACACGTCTTTGCCGCGGCCTACAACTATACATACATACATATCGGCACCTGAAATGCAAAAAGATGTAACAACATCGTATCTGAAATGGAAAAAATAGTGACTAATAAGTGACTAATGAAATCCATCATATCAATCAAAAACTGAATTTTGAATTTTTTATTAGCTACGACTTTTTGTATTTTCCCGACGATGTTTGTTACGTCTTTTTGCATTTCAGGTGACAATATGTACGTACATACATACAATCCGCGGGAATTCGCCTGCACATCGATTAGTCAACCTTGTTTTTCTTCGAAAAAAGCCTCTAAAATACATGTTCCAGCTTACTGAGGAACACAAGTTTTACAAATTTCGCAAGTTACCTATTAGCGCAAATTCGCATGCGGTGCATGACTGTTTTTGGTTAAGCCTTCTTTATTTCTCAATTCAAATTTTAAAATGGTTCAATTCAATCGTACAATTAAAATGTTTCATCTTTATTTAAGCAACTCCAGCTTTTACATTTATTATTATTTATTTTCATATATATTTTTGGATTTTTCGTTTTTCATTTTAATAGTACACATTCACGGTCTATTCATGCTTTGCATTTATGCATTCAAGTGATTATTTTTAATGCGGGTGTTTCATTAAAAGTGTGTGTGTGTGTGTGTGTGTTTGTTTGTGTCACTGCAGTTTATCGAGTGTTTTTCGTGTTCATTTTGATTACATTTTGGTAATCAGATTAGCCATGGTAATCCAATGCCGGGTCTTCCGCTTGCACACATACATATTATGTATGTATATGGTACAACCAGGACATCGAGAACGGAGTTTGTTATATAATTGTCCAATGGGTGCTTGTCCATGTGTATAGATTGTGGGTGGAGGGATGCAAAGTGTGGATAACTTCTAAAATTGTATGGTGTTGTTGTTGTCAGAGGTTGCTTGCATATGCGTGTGTGTGTGCATGTGTACTTTTATGAGTTGGATAGGAAATTACGAGTATTACCAACTTTAATTGGATTTCACAATATAATATAAAAAAAAAACTTAATAATAATTATAAGAATTAATAACAAAATGAATTCAATTCGATTGAGTCTCACAGTTTGGTGTTGAAATACAGTACAATACGTAGTAAACGCTATAGGAAATTTATGAATTTGCGTAAGTGCAACTACAGTACACTTTGATGATGACTAGCACAAATATAATGCCGGTATATGATAAGGAATGGATAGTAATGAATGAGCGAAGCTGCGAACGAGCATCATTCGTGTATTTATGATTTCGAATAAATATATTAATTATAAAATGTATAAGCGTATATTGAATGCGAAAATGTTGTGATTTCGTGCGATTGATGATTGCTTTGCGATATTTTTAGCGCGGGCGGCGATTAAGTCCGATTTCCTGCGAAAGGATTTACGATGACGATATAGATTAAGAAAGACGTAAATATAGTATATAATCGAAAATAATAAAAATGTCAGTTTAGAGTTGCACGCTAGACGGTGAGCTGCTTCGCCTGTGGTTGTGTTTAGTGGGGAAGTGATAGGTGTAATCGCTGTGAAGATTGGAGATGAGGATGTAGTGAATGCTGTTGATATTTGGTTTGTTTTTGTTTGTGTTGTAATTGAATTCTTTTTGGTTTTCATGTTATCAATGTCTTTTATTTTGCTTTTAGCCACTTGCTTAGGGAATGATGCCTTCACGCACGACTCAATCGAAGTTCGGGGATAGGGCAACATGGCATTAGTCGATGCTAATGATGTTATTGCTGATGATTTCCGCATGGAGATGGATTTTTTGCTAGTGTTTGTATGGTTGTTGACGCACAAAGTTTGTCCTTTGTTGGTGAAGAAGGTGTTGTGATTAATGAGGAAAATTTGCGATTTATTTTTTGTGGTAATGTTATTATTATAGTTGTTGTTGTAGTTGTCTATGTTGTTTGTGTTGTTGTTGTTGTTGATGTTGATGTTGTTGCCCACATTGAATGTCATAGCTNAATTTGCGATTTATTTTTTGTGGTAATGTTATTATTATAGTTGTTGTTGTTGTTGTTGTAGTTGTCTATGTTGTTTGTGTTGTTGTTGTTGTTGATGTTGTTGCCCACATTGAATGTCATAGCCTTACTATCATAATAATTACTTATCATATTCATATTCATATCATTGATAAGAGTAAATTGTATTATTCTTTTAAATTTATGCTTATTAAATGTTTTCTTTTGAGATTTATGTAGTAGTAATTTTGCTGTTGCTGCTACTGTAGTTGTTGGAATTGACGACCATGACGACCACAACTCCAACGACACCGATGACAACGACATTGATGGCGATGACAATAATACAAATTGTATTTTTATTTGCTGTATTTGCATAATTATTTGTTGTTGTGAGTTAACGTTCTGCTGGCACTCTAGTTATTTCTTCTTCTGTGCCTTCTCGGCGGCTTTTGTGACTTTACCCGAGGTTGTCTCTTTAAAGGTGACCGACTTTATGACCCCCACCGCGACCGTTTGCCTCATATCACGTACAGCGAAACGTCCGAGCGGCGGAAACTCTTGGAAACTTTCAACGCATAACGGCTTAGTGGGCACCAACAAAATAATGGCCGCATCACCAGACTTAATAGCTTTCGGATCGGTTTCGGTGGTCTTGCCAGTACGGCGATCGCATTTCTCTTTGATCTCGGAAAATTTGCAAGCAATATGAGCGGTGTGACAATCCAAGACCGGGGTGTAGCCGTTGGCGATTTGACCAGGATGATTAAGTACAATCACCTATTAAGCGAAAAGTGACAAGTTATTAGTGAGAAATATGTGCATACATCTGAAAAATAAAACAAAATTGCAGCAAGTGTGCGTTAGCATAAGGGCCCATTAAAATATTACGTAAGCAGAGTTTTACTAATTTTTAACCCCTCCCTCCCCCTTGTCGGCAAAAGTAGACAAACATAATCCAAGTTAGGCTACGTTTAAAAAAAAAAATGTTTTTCACAAGGACGGTAATCACTATAAGTTAAATCCTTTTATCAGCATTTAATCAATATTTCAGATGTATTTTTAATTTTACTTTGCTCAAAAATAATAGTTGAAAGTTGAGTTAATTTTTTTTTTATCACAAAAATTGATTTTTTTACGATTTTTAATTTTTCGCTCAAAAATAAGAAATATTGTTATTTTATAAAATATTATTATTTATAAAACTTAAATCGCCATACTGACGCAATGAACTTAAACTTTGGCCTGAAAATTTTGAGACTTATTTCTTTTATTATATCTGTAAAGATTTTGAGTTTTTTAAAAAATATTTACTACCTATTTGGTGAAAATAATAATATTAATTATTATTATTATCTTTGAGCGCAAAAATAAAAATTTTAAATTAATCATTGATCGAAAAAATCAAGATATAAATAATTTCTTTTGATCGAAAAAAACAAAAATATTAATTAATATTTTTTAACTCGAAAAATTTAAATATTTGAACATTATAACAGAATGTAGAAAGAAACATATTTCGGTACAATCGAAGAGTTTTTGCGACGCTCATAACATGTTCATTTTTCACATTAAAACTTAAAAAATAATGATTATTTTCCGTCCCTGGTTTGGTCAATGTAACAGATCGGTTTTAAGTTACGTCAAGTTAAGTCTTCACCAATAACACCTTTAAGTTCACTAACCTGAGCGGTAAAATCAGCAGCACCCTTGGGTGGGCAATTCTTTGAGTCACCAGCTACATAGCCACGTCGCAGCTCCTTTACCGAAACGTTCTTCACATTGAAGCCAACATTATCGCCAGGCAAAGCTTCAGATAGTGCCTCGTGATGCATTTCCACAGACTTGACTTCAGTCACCAAATTGACTGGTGCGAAATTAACCACCATACCTGCGAATATTTCAAAAAGGATTTCATCAGCCAGTGATTTTTTCGCAACCGAAAAAAACCGAAAATGTTTGCTCTCAATTTCTAAGCATCGATTAATTCGCGAGAACATACAGACGCAAGCGTACCAATTTGCATGCGAATGCATACGAGTGCGTATGCACTCGGTTTCGTGTTGCCCGGATGCGGAATCGAAGCCGAGCGAGCAGGCGGCTTTTCAGCACAAAAGTATGCAGCAAAATTTGCCGAAATATGCAGCAGCAACAACAACAAAAAAAACAACAAGCCAGTAAAGATGACGAGCCACATATCTATCCATACATACATGCACACAAACGAGCGCAAGCGACCCACTTTTGCAACATCCTTGCGCTCCCATCCACAACAACCTACAGCGACGGCATTCGTACTCAACTTTCCAGCCGCCCACTCACCCACATACATATGTACATTGGTTTTGCATACATCCTATGCATGCAGCCTTATACTAGATGCAGCAATCATATCCGGTGCCTGGACGTAAGCACACACACACACACACACACATATAGCACACATGACTCAACAACACAAACACACAGCTTACTTACTCACCTGGCTTCAGTATACCAGTCTCCACACGTCCCACTGGCACCGTACCGATACCGCCAATCTTGTAAACGTCCTGCAATGGCAGACGCAATGGCTTNCCTGGCTTCAGTATACCAGTCTCCACACGTCCCACTGGCACCGTACCGATACCGCCAATCTTGTAAACGTCCTGCAATGGCAGACGCAATGGCTTGTCGGTGGGCCGCTGTGGCGGCATAATTGCGTCCAGCGCATCAATCAAACACTTGCCCTCCACTTTGCTCTCCTTGCGCTCCACAGTCCAACCCTTGAACCATGGCATCTTCTCAGATGGTTCAAGCATATTATCACCATGCCAGCCGGAAATGGGTACGAATGCCACCGACGCCGGATTATAGCCGATCTTCTTGATGTACGATGATACCTCCTTCTTGATTTCCTCATAGCGTGTCTCGCTATACGGTGGCTCAGTGGAGTCCATCTTATTAACGCCAACAATCAATTGCTTGACGCCCAACGTGAATGCGAGTAGAGCATGTTCACGCGTTTGGCCATTCTTAGAGATGCCGGCTTCGAATTCGCCGGTACCGGCAGCAACAATTAATACCGCGCAATCGGCCTGCGAAGTACCGGTAATCATATTTTTGATGAAATCACGATGTCCAGGCGCATCGATGATGGTCACATAGTATTTCTGCGTCTCGAATTTCCACAAAGCAATATCAATGGTTATGCCACGCTCACGCTCCGCCTTCAGTTTGTCCAAGACCCAGGCATACTTGAAGGAGCCCTTACCCATTTCCTGGGCCTCCTTTTCGAACTTTTCAATCGTACGCTTGTCAATGCCACCGCACTTGTAAATCAAATGGCCAGTTGTGGTCGATTTACCGGAGTCGACGTGACCAATTACAACAATATTAATATGCGTCTTTTCCTTACCCATCTTGAGTGTCTACACTTCGTACGCACAGCAGCTCTGAATTCTTCCGGCGAGATTTCGTAGTATTAGCTGGGATTTATAAAGCTATTACGTGTCAGTTGGAAAAGATGTGCGAATAGAAAGTGGAATGAGTGACAGAATATGCCAAGGTGTATGTGAAGTGTGTTTTACACTTGTCGTTGAATCGGTAAGTTTAAATGTAGGTGTCAGAGTTGTAAAGTGTTCGAGGGTATTGAGGGCATGGATAGTGGGAGTGCGGGAGCCAGGCGTGTGGGTGGGCGATGTGGAAACATTTGTACATACATATGTATGTATGTACATATACATACATAAATATGGAAAAAATGGGCGAATGGAAATGCGTTGGGAATCATGGATACTTACTTACATATATATATTTTTCGGTATGTACACTTACTTGCTTTGTTACCGGCTTTGAAGGAAGCAAATCAAATTTCCTTTGTCCGCACAGTCGTCGAATGTTAAAGATTAGAGAAAACTCTGCAAAACAATGAGGCAAATCAG